GACAGATCAACTAGGCAGAAAATCAACAATGAAATAATAGAACTGAACCAAGCTTTGGACCACATGGACTTAATAGATGTCTATAGAGTATTCCACCCCCAAAAATCAGAATATATATTCTTTTCGGCTGCATGTGGATCATTCTCCAAAATAGACCACATACTGGCTCACAGAACAGGTCTAAATAAATGCAAAAAAATTGAAGTCATCCCCTGTATATTATCAGATCATAGTGCAATAAAACTGGAGATCAATAGCACAAGAAACTATAGAAACTTCACAAGCACATGGAAACTGAACAACACTCTCCTAAACAATCAATGGATTACAGAGGAAATTAAAGAAGAAATTGGACAGTTTTTACAAATAAAAGAGAATGCCAATACAACATACAGGAATCTTTGGGACACAATGAAAACGGTTCTATGTGGAAAATTCATAACATTGAATGCCCACACTAGGAAAACAGAGTGGGCTCAAATAAACAACTTAACGATGAAACTTAGACTCCTAGAAAAACAAGAGCAAGAAAAACCCAAAGCTCGAACAAGAGAGGAAATTATAAAGATCCGAGCAGGAATCAATGCAATTGAAACTAAGAAAATGATACAAAAACTAAACTTTAAACTATCATTATTTACTGATGATATGATACTCTACACTGAAGATCCAAAAAACTCCACCAAAAAACTTCTAGACTTAATTGAAAGATTCAGTAGATTATCTGGATACAAGGTGAATACCCCAAAATCAATAGTCTTTCTATACACAAATAACAGACACATGGAAAGAGAAATAAGGGAAAAAATTCCTTCTACAATAGCATCCAAAAAAATGAAGTATCTAGGAATCAATCTAACAAAAGAAACAAAAGATCTCTACACTGAAAATTACAGCACTCTGAAAGAAGAAATCGAAGAGGATATAAAAAAATGGAAAGATATCCCCTGCTCCTGGGTAGGAAGAATCAACATAGTGAAAATGGCCATACTACCAAAACTGCTATATACATTCAATGCAATGCCAATTGAAATTCCAACACTATATTTCACAGAACTAGAAAAAAGAATTCAAAAATTCATTTGGAACCATAAGAGACCTAGAATAGCAAAAGCCATTTTAGGCAACAGACACATGGCACCAGGTGTAACAATTCCCAATTTGAAACTATACTACAAAGCCACTGTGATAAAAACAGCATGGTACTGGCAAAGAAATAGGCCTGAGGATCAGTGGAACAGACTGGAAGACACAAAAACAAATGCAGATGTACTCAGCTACCTCATCTTTGACAAAGGAGCTGACCATCCTCAGTGGAGGAAAGATAGCCTCTTTAATAAATGGTGTTGGAAAAACTGGATGTCAACCTGCCACAGATTAAAATTAGACCCTTATCTTTCGCCATGCACTAAATTAAAATCCAAATGGATTAAAGATCTAAATATTAAAACAGAAACATTAAACTTGCTGGAAGGTAAGTTAGGCAGAACTCTGGAAGACATTGGTATAGGAAAAGACTTTATGAACAAATCCTCAGTAGCACGGGAACTAGCAGAAAGAATCAACAACTGGGATCTCATCTTACTAAAAAGCTTCTGTACTTCAAAAGAAACCATTAGCAGAACTAAGAGACAATCTACAATGTGGGAAAAAATTTTTACCAGCTGTACCTCAGACAAAGGACTATTATCAAGGATATATAAAGAACTCAAAACAATCAGTCCCCCCAAATATAAAGACCCGATCCAAAAATGGGCATCCGAAATGAACAGACATTTCTCATACAAAGAAGTGAAAGCAGCAAGAAAATATATGAAAAAATGTTCCACATCACTGGTCATTCGAGAGATGCAGATGAAAACAACACTGAGATTCCACCTCACCCCACAAAGAATGGCTGCTATCAAGAAATCACACAATAACAAATGTTGGCGGGGTTGTGGGGAGAAAGGAACCCTCCTCCATTGTTGGTGGGAGTGCAGACTAGTGCAACCACTATGGAAATCAATATGGAGATACCTCAAAGAGCTTGGACTGGAGGTTCCATTTGACCCAGCCATCCCTCTGCTGGGTATCTTTCCAAGAGAACTAAAAGAATCATATCACAGAGAAGTATGTGCACCCATGTTTATAGTGGCACAGTTTGTAATAGCTAAATCTTGGAAACAGCCTATTTGCCCATCCGTTGGAAACTGGATAAAGAAGTTGTGGTTTTTCTATAAAATGGAATATTCCTCAGCCATAAAGAATGAGAAAATAGATTCATTCATAGGAAAATGGATACATATTGAAGATATACTCCTAAGTGAAATAAATAAGTCACACGTGTAAATACTGAATAGTTTCCCTGGTGTGAATAATCTGCAACAATGCATAAGTTTCTAATAAGATTACTGACATTGAGAAATGGGAAGAAAGGAGCTAAAGGTGTAGGGAAGGTGGGATAGGTAGGGGAAGAGTAAAAAGGGAAAAGAAAAAAATGTGAGAGAATGAAAAAATGAAAATAAAGTGTTTGTAGATGGGGAGGAGAGGAGAGGGTGAAGGGAGGGCAGGGGTAAGGGGAAAAAATGAGAATCAAGACTTGTCATGTAGAGGTACAAGATCCCAACAATGAATGTAACTGTACTGTATCCCTAAAATGTACCAATAAACTCAATTAAAGCTGAAAAAAAGAAAAAAAAAGAATCTCTAGGGTCATAATTTTCTCACCAGGCACAAAATGTTACCATTTCTTAAAATTAAAAAATACAGTTTCTTCAGCTGAGGATGTGGCTCACTGGAAGAGCACTGGCCTCACATGCTATTGCATGCTCAAAGACCTGGATTTGAGTCCCAATCCCCCCCAAAAAAAACTGTTATAATTGAGTCCCAGTGCCAAAAAGTTCTGATTCACATTATCACTATTTATATTTAAATGATCTTTGAAATATGATTTGTCAAAGGTTTAGAAAAGTGTTTCGTGTCCAAGGCAATAAATGCTGCCAAAGTTTGTCTAAGTGCTCTAGGAATTCTCCATAGATTGTTGTAGAAGAAGGCTTGCCATTCTTAGAATTCATGAACTCTATTTCAGCTCTTCAAAAATGTGAGGTTATTCACCAAAGATAGATTCACCGGATAGGTAAAATAAAACAAACAAAGCCCATCAAATTCATTTTAACTAATATTAAGTCACATAGTTTGGGTATTGTGGTTTTCACTTACACGTTTTAACTAAGAAAGCTATTTTTATTTGCACAATAATACACTGAAATGATTAGAAATCAAAATAAAATAAAAGATATATAGTGATCTGGGCATGGTGATGCACACCTGTAATCCCAATACTCCAGAAAGCTAAGGCAGGAGGATTCCAAATTTGAGCCCACATTGGGCAACTTAATGAGACCTTCCCTCAAAAACAAAAACAAACAAACAAACAAAAAAATCCAGAAAGATCTAGGGATGTATCTCAGTGTGAAAGCCCTGAGTTCAATCCTCAGTACTAAAAAGAAAGATACACAATGAGATACTATCCTATCAACCCTATCCTCACCTGCTCCAGTGTACTTCTCTACTCTGTTCCTCTTAGATAAGCACTTATTCTGGATATTCTTTTATGTAATTGTAATACAAATATAATTATGTGTTTTAACTTCTTCCCTTTTTATAGAAGAGGTAGCATACCATCAATACCACTCTGCATTTTGAATGTTTCACCTTACAATTTATCTTGAAAATCTTGTATTCCATTGTGTGAATCTATCATAGCTTATTTAACCAGTCCCCTAATGATGGATACTTGGTGGTTTCCAATACTATTCTGCAATGAATACCCTTGTACATATAATTTTGTTTATGTAAAGGCATATCTGTAGGGTAAATTGCCAAATGTGCAAAGGCTATGATTTTGATAACTGTTGCCACACTGACCTCTATAGGGAATATCTCTCTCTCTCTCTCTCTCTCTCTCTCTCTCTCTCTTTCCATTTTGCACAACAGCAGGCAGTGTAAGAAGACAGCCCTAAAACAAAAGAAGCTAGAAATGTCATGTACAGGCACAAATTCCCTGTGATAGATTTTTATCATTATGTATATTTAAAATGTACCAATAAATATTTTGCTTCAAAAATAAATAAATTTTTTAATGTGCTTAATTTTTTAAAAATTAAAAATAAATATTAATTCATAATAGTAGTTGGCTTGTTAGATAAATACTGAAAATATTGGCCCAATAGTGTGGGTTGATGGGCAAAGGGGAAGATAATAAATCAAACCTTACCAAAAGGGTTGGAATGTTTGGCATAGAAGAATAGTGACTTCAATATTTTTCACTTACCCGTTGCTTAATTTTTTCAGTCAGGAATGGTTTAATCATGGAAAATACAGCATGGAAAATTGCAGGTTCATTTATCAAATGGATACCACGAACTTTCAGTGGAAAGGAATCCTTTTGAAAATAAAAAAAATTTTCTTAACAATAAAACATAAATGAATGTTACAACTATATTTGAAAAACTAAGCTTCTTCCTTGAACACTTTCCAAACTTACAGCAGTATCTAGAGTATGATTTTATTTTAAAAATTATTTATTCCACCACCACAGAAGTGTGGCTTATAGTTTGCTGTCACTACATAAAGAAAAGATCTTTCAAAAAGTTTCTCTTATTCTTTAAAGGAAAAAAGAATTAAGATATGTTAAGCACATGTACCAACTCCACACAAGGAATGTAAGCATGGACTGCAAGCAGGGACAATAGAAAAAGCAAGGGGATCAAGAGACGGATGGAGAGGGGAGGGAGGAAAAGAAAAGTTAATTTTAAAAGGAATAAAAAAGGTACTAATAAAGTAAATATACTACCTTTTATGTGTCTCAGAGGGGAAAAAAAGAAATATGTATATATTTTCACCAGAAAATCCTTCCTATAATCACATAAAATTGTTCCTTAATTTGAACATATATAATTTGACATTTCTGCCAAAACTATCTGTGACCAAAAAGTAAACTTTCATGAAAATGGAAAGACTATAACAATAGATACAAACCTTCTTAAACATGTCACATGAATATACATCTTTACCATCAAAGTAACATTGGCTTACTTAGAAAGCTTAAAAAGTAAAGAATTCTGTTTTTAAAAGTCTCATCAAATAATTTCTTTACCGAAATTCTGATGTTTTACACAAACTTTTTCTTCCAAGGTTTTTTTCATGCAAGATTTTTTTTCCTATATCTCATTTTTATTAACTTGAGGCTTTTTCTCCATGTTCTTTCTATATATAATTTTATTTTAAACCGAATTGCTAATATGGCCTCTAAATAATTTATATCCTGCTGTGTTTTATTGATTAAATGCAATTTCTTTAATCATCATGAGTTTTGATATTGTTGCAAAAGCCCAACAAATGAAATACCATAATTTAAGTAATCATTTTTCTATTTCTACACAAAAAGTTGTTTCTTTTCTTCCCATTTCACAATGTCAGTAATCTTATTAGGATCTTATGTAAAGGTGTAGGGAAGGTGGGATGGGTAAGGGAAAGGTAATAAGGGAAAAGAAAAAAATGTGAGATAATGAAAAGATGGAAATAAAGTGTTTGTAGATGGGGAGGGCAGGGACAAGAGGAAAAAATGAGAACCAAAACCTGTCATGTAGAGGTACAAGATCCCAACAATGAATGTAACTGTACTGTATCCCTAAAATGTACCAATAAACTCAATTCAAGCTGAAAAAAAAAGTTGTTTCTAATTTAATTCTATTTAAAGCGATGCTGCCAAAACTGTCTACATGTATTAGAAGAGTAGTGATTAAAAACATGATTTTACATTCAGGTCATCTGGTCTGCAATCCTTTCTTCACTGCTGACAGAATGCATGCCTGGGCATTGCTATGTCCATATATCTGACATAGTTTATTAATTTGTAAAGTTGTAAAAATTATAGTCATACATGTAGGCTGGTACAGCCATTGAGAGGTAACTCATTTGAAACACTTAGCAGAGTACCTGAGACATAGTAAGTTAGTATTATAGTATACAAAGCTCTCCTATAGTTAAGATTATTCTCTAACTAGGTTTCCAAAAGTAGAATTACTGGGTCAAATATAATGGCCTTTTTAAAAATCTGATTTCTGGGGGAAAAAAAATACCAGTTTATGCCTACCAAGACTATGTGACATTTTATTGAATCAGTTATAATTAGTTTTGAGTCAGTTTTTCAATTTAGAAAGAAAATTTTAGGGACAAGAAAACAAAGTCACCATGTTATTATTTAAATGCATAAATTTGGCAATTGTTCACTTCAGTTTGTTACAATATTTCCCTTTTATAAATTATACCTTACTTCCCATTGGCACTATTCAATTATATTTCTTTCCTAAAATTCTATTTAAGTATCTAATAAATTAAAACAAAAATTAAAATTATTTGGAAATATGATAACTAAGAGTTAAAAATATACTTACTGTAAGTACAGCAGCAATCTTCTTGGCCACAAATGGAGTAATTTGGAAAGCATGGGAGTACTCCCAGCCTTCCAGATCAAATATAGCCTTGACTCCATTCCGTTGAGTTTCGACTTCCCGTACAATAAGCTCAGATGTAATTAGACTTACGCGAAATACGTCATAAACTGTAAACACTTTTGGGTCTATATATATAATATGTGTACTATATATAGTATCTTGGCTTTATGTAAAGAACCAGGAAGACCAGAAAGATTTCAAAATGATACTAATTCTTTTTAGACTTAAAGGATCAGTAGAAATAAATACAAGTTCAAGAATCATGAATTAAATAATAGATTAAGTTAAGGTTCAAGGATATATGCCTGTTCCTCCCCCTCAAATCCCTGGCAAAGAACAGATTTATAAGATCACAGCAGGGGTGGGGGGTTATAGGCTAGATTTGAATGCCAATTCATACCTTATGTGTATGCTCAGAGGTGTTAGAAATGGGAAAAGTTATGGCCTGGATTATGAGGAGCAACTAGGGTCCCATAGTAAATGTTATAGTTTTGAATGAAACGTTCCTCCAAAGTGTATGTGTGAAAGGCTTGATTCCCAGTACAGCAATGTCCAAAGGTAGAGCTTTTGGGAAGTCACTGCATCTTGAGGGCACTGAGCATTGATCAACTGATTAAACCATTGATGCAGTCATAGCTCAATGGACTATTGGGAACATGTGACCTAAGTGGAAAGGTAGGTCATTGCAGGCATGCCTTCAAAGGATACTGAAACCCCAGCCCCTTCTCATTTCTACCATTGACTATGGCTGAGCAGCTTTCCTCTGCCATGTGCTTCCTGCCATGATGTTCTGCCTAGCTACAGGCCCAGAGTAATAGGACCAAGTAAACATAGACTGAAAACCCTACAATAATGAGCCAAAATAAATATTTACTCCTTTTAAGTTGTTTTCCTCAGGTATATTGTCATAACAATGGAAAGTGGAGTAATATAGTAACCAGATTGCTAAGAGAGATACATTAAGAGCTGACAGGTTAAGAGTGTACTATTACCCTTCTTTGTGATGAGTAGCATGTAGCAGATGCATGTCCCCACAGACTTAGACAGGAAATAAGGGCTTGAGAAAGATGAGCCAAGGAAACACCCAGGTAGTTACACACACCCAAGGAAAACAGGCAGTGCCTGTGCTTCAAGGAAGTACAAACATCCTTGTCCACATATCCCATTCCTCCCCTGGTGTCCATGGGGCAGGTCATGACAGGCAGAAATGACAGTAATGCACAGGTGAGTAGGCAATTTTAAAAACAAGATACGTGCCTACTGAAATTGTTATGTGTGTGTGTGTGTGTGTGTATATATATATATATATGTGTGTGTGTGTGTGTGTGTGTATTTTAATGTGTATATATATATACACATATGTATATATATATTTACACAAATATATATATTTATTTATTTATTTATACACACACAGAGGAGCCAAGCTCTGTAGATAAAGGTACCAAAATAAAAAAAAAGAGTTAAGTAAGACATATTAAAAGCAACATAATAGTCTCAGTGAGAGGTTGGGGCAGGAATACTAAAAGCATTTATTATAAGAACAGGCAATCATTTATAAAGAATCAATTGAGATCCTAGAAATAAAAAGACAATTCAATAAAAATTTAATCAATGGGACAAGTAACAGAAAAGATATAGGCAATTTATTAATTTGAAAGATCAAGTTGAGGAAGTCTCTCAAACTTGGATCAAAAGAGCCAAGAATTGATAAATATTAACTTAAAGATGAGATAAATGCAGCTAAATTTATAAAATTCACTATCTAAAAGGAGATCTAGAGAACAAGAAATAAAGACAGAAATAGTAACAGTAGAGAAAATTTTTCCATAATGGAAAAAAAAAAGATGTGAAGTATTGAGACTGAAAGGTCTACGGACTACCTAACAGATAAATGACAAGAAAGATTATTCATAAGTAATGTTAAAACTTCAGAAAAGCATAATTTTTGGCTTGGGCAACTGGGTACATTGGTGGTATCATTTATTAAGAAAGATAAGTTTTTGCTGTGGAAAAATCATAAGTACAAACATGTCTAAATGGTGGCTATGTGCCATTCCAGTGGATGTAGTTGAAATTTTAAGTGGAATATATGTGTCTTGATCCCAAAGAGAAGATGAGAGTATTAAAAATATGAAGTGCACTGGGGATTTAGCTCAGTGGTACCACCACCTGCCTTGCAAGCCCAAGGTCTAGAGTTCAATCCCCAGTATCAAACAACAACAACAGCAACAACAAAAACAAAAATATGAAGTGTGATAAAAAAATATAGTAAATTTTAAAATTAAAAATGTATTACAGTAAAAGAGTTATGATTTATTATGTACATGTGCCAAATCCCCACAAGGAATGTAATCATTATGTACTAATAAAATACAAAAAATTGAAAAGACATATTGCCACAAATTTCTCTAACTTTTAGCACACTTATCCCGTCCTTCTTGCCACATTCTGAAGAAGTTCTGGAAATCTTCTTCCATGAGTGTTTTTTCATGACTGCCTCAATATCCTGGATTGATTCAAAACATTTATGGCAACTTCTGTTAAATCAACACATTACAACATATCCTCATTCACTTTATTCACTGGATCTTGTACCATGTTACCAGATCTGGCTCGTCCCTAAAGTTAAAGTGACCAGCAAAGGTAAATGTTTTGAATCTATTGGAGGCCTTGAGGCAACCATGGGAAGGCAACTAAAGATATTCACAAAAGAGGACCTCCAGAACAGAATGATGGGGATAAGTGTGTGGTATTAGGAGGTGGCCTTTGACCTGTGATTAGGCCATGAGTGTGGGGTCCTCATAAATAGGATTAGTGCCCTTATAAAAGAGAACCAGACCCAGAAGAGACCCTTTGCCTCTTCCACTTTTGAGGTTTGAGTGAAATGTCTGTCTATGACCCAGCAAATGCCATCATTAGAACTAAATCTGCTGATTCTCTCACCTAGGAGTTCCCAGCCTCAGGAATTATGAGAGCTAATTTTCTATTTCTATAAATGACCCTGCCTATGGGATTTTGTTATAGCAGCTGAACAGATAAGATATCAACCTACAAAGAATGCTAGGAGCACCTGAAAATGAAAGGGGAATCAGTGAAAAGAAAAAGGAGCTAATGCCTTACAGTGTGTGTGGCAATCTGGAGACCCTGAGCACCCTTTCACACCCTCTTCCATCCAAGAGAGTGAGAACCTTGCTCTTTACATTGGGTGTTACTGAACAAGTCACACACTCACTCCACAAATGTTAAACGAACCTTCCATGTACCAGACCCTGTGATCGGTGCTTGTGATGTATCAATGCCCATGACATATAAAAGCTATGATCTCCTGAAGGCTTTATTGTTCAGAATTCTTTTGTGTAATTCCTATTAAGACTTCTTCAGATGGCTTACCCTGACCCTTCTCACTCCCCCACCCCATTTCTTTTCTCTATTTTTCTTTTCATTTGCATGGTTGATAATGTAGGGAAGTAGAACTCTCACCAGTTTCACCAGTTTGTTAATTTTTTCACAACTACCAAGATTTTGTTATATTTAGGAAATATTAAGACATAAAACTGGTCATCAGACCGGTTTAGACTCAGAGCTGCCTCTGCTGAGCAGCCCAGCCTGAACTGTGGGCCACCTCTGGAGCCGTGCCATTTCCAGTGGACGCCACTGATTGGCTCTGACACAGCGCCAGAATGGTAGCCCCCGCCCCAGCTATTAGATCCACTGATTGAGCCAGTCCTTGGACTCACTCTGTAGAGGCATGGCGGGCTGTAAAGGGTGATGATTGATCCTATTATGTTCCTGATTGTATCAATAGGGATAAAGGATAGGGATTGATTTGATAAGTTGTTTTCTCAATTATGAAAATGAGAATGTCTATAAGTCACTAGAGAATCAAAGATTGGGACGCAATGATATCAGGAAGATTTAATGACCTAGAGACTGAATCAAGGGCAGCACAACAGGAAAAATAAAGATGAGAAAACACTTAAGCAAGCCACAAAAACAGACTTTTGAACGTATGGACTTATTAGACATCTATAGAGTGTTCCACCCCGCAAAATTAGAATATACATTCTTTTCAGCTGCACATGGGTCATTCTCCAAGATAGATCACATACTAGCTCACAAAACAGGTTTGAATAAATGCAAAAGAATTGAAGTTACTCCCTGTATATTATCAGATCACAGTGCAGTAAAGCTGGAGATCAATAGCATAAGAAATGGTAGGAAATTCACAAACACATGGAAATTGAACAACGCATGCCTGAACAATCAATGGATCACAGAGAAAATTAAAGAAGAAATCAGAGAGCTTTCACAAATAAACAAAAATGCCAATACAACATACAGGAATCTCTGGGACATAATGAAAGCACATCTACATGGAAGATTCATAGCACTGAATGCCCACACTAGGAAAACAGAGCAAGTTCAAATAAACAACCTAATGATGAATCTTAGACTCTTAGAAAAACAAGAGTAAGAAAAACCCAAAGCTTGAACAAGAAAGGAAATTGTAAAGATTAGAGCAGAAATCAATACAATGGAAACTAAGAAAACAATACAAAAAATAAATGAATCGAAGAGCTGGTTTTTTGAAAGAATAAATAAAATTGACAAACCCTTAGCTAATCTTATCAAAAAAAGGAAAGAAAAGGCTCAGATCCATGCAATAAGGAATGAATAAGGTGAAGTCACAACAGATCCAAAAGAAATTCAGAGGAACATTAATACATACTATGAGAACCTGTACTCTAAAAAAATGGAAAACACAGAAGAAATGGACAGATTTCTAGATACTTATGAATTACCAAAGTTGAACGAAGAAGATAAAAACATTTCAAACACCCCAATCACAATCAGTGAAATTGAAAATATAATTAAAAACTTACCAACAAAGAAAAGCCCAGGTCCTGATGGATTCACTGCTGAATTTTACAAGACATTTAGAGAAGATCTATTGCCATTACTCTTCAGACTTTTCAATGAAATTGAAAGAGAAGGAATACTTCCAAATTCATTCCTGGAAGCAAATATCTCTTTGATTCCCAAACCTGGGAAAGATGTAACTAAAAAAGAGAACTACGAGCCAATCTCCTTAATGAATATAGATGCAAAAATCCTCAATAAGATAGTACCAAACAGAATACAGAGGATCATCAAGAAGATCATACATCCTGACCAAGTCGGATTTTTTTCCAGGGATGCAAGGATGGTTCAACACACATAAATCAATAAATATAATACACTATATTAACAAAGTCAAGGACAAGAACCACATGATCCTTTTGATAGATGCAGAAAAAGCATTTGAAAAAATTCAACACCCATTTATGATAAAAACGCTGCAAAAAATTGGAATAGATGGTCTATGTATCAACTTAATAAAGGCTATCTATGAAAAACCAACAGCCAACATCATATTAAATGCCCAAAAACCTTCATGTTAAAATCAGGAACAAGACAAGGATGCCCACTATCACCACTCCTCTTTGATATAATTCTGGAAACATTAGCCATAGCAATTAGACAAGAGAAAGAAATTAAGGCAATAAAGATAGGAAAGGAAGAAGTTAAACTGTCATTATTTGCTGATGATATGATACTCTACATTGAAGATCCAAAAAACTCCACCAAAAGACTTCTCGACTTAATTGACACTTTTAGCAGAATAGATGGATACAAGGTCAACAACCAAAAATCAATAGCCTTCTTGTAAACAAACAACAGACTCACTGACAAAGAAATTAGGGAAACAATTCCTTTCACAATAGCACCCCCCAAAATGAAGTATCTGGGAAGCAATTTAACAAAAGAAGCAAAAGACCTCTATCCTGAAAACTACAGCACTCTGAAAAAAGAGATGGAGGAGGATATAAGAAAATGGAATGATATCCCCTGCTCCTGGGTAGGAAGAATCAACATAGTGAAAATGGCCATACTACCAAAACTGCTATACAGATTCAATGCAATACCAATTGAAATCCCAACACAATACTTCACAGAACTAGAAAGAAGAATCCAAAAATTCATTTGGAGCCATAAGACACCTAGAATAGCAAAAGCCATCCTAGGCAACAGACACATGGCAGAGGGTATAACGATTCCCAATTTGAAACTATACTAGAAAGCCACTGTGATAAAAACAGCATGGTACTGGCAAAGAAACAGACCTGAGGATCAGTGGAACAGATTGGAAGACACAAAAATAACTCCAGATGCACTCAGCTACTCATCTTTGATGAAGCTGCCAGTCCCCATTGGAGGAAGGATGGCCTCTTTCATAAATGCTGTTGGAAAAACTGGATCTCAACCTGCAAAAGACTAAAACTAGACCCTTATCTGTCACCATGCACTAAATTAAAATCCAAGTGGATTAAAGACCTAAATATAAAAAAAAATAAACACTAAACTTGCTGGAAGATAAATTAGGCAGAACTCTGGAAGGCATTGGCATAGGAAAAGACTTTATGAACAAATCTTCAGTAGCACAGGAACTAGCAGAAAGAAGCAACAACTGGGATCTCATCTTATTAAAAAGCTTCTGCACTGCAAAAGAAACCATCAACAGAACTAAGAGACAATCTACAATGTGGGAAAAACTTTTTACCAGCTGCTCCTCAGACAAAGGACTACTCTCTAGAACATATAAACAACTCAAAATAACCAGTGCCCCCAAATATAATGACCCAATTTTAAAATGGGCATCTGAAATGAACAGACATTTCTCAGACAAAAGAAGTCAAAGCAGCAAGTAAATATATGAAAAAATGCTCCACATCACTGGTCATTCGAGAGATGCAGATGAAAACAACTCTGAGATTTCACCTCACCCCACAAAGAATGGCTGCTATCAAGAAATCACACAACAACAAATGTTGGCATGGTTGTGGAGAGAAAGGAACCCTTCTCCATTGTTGGTGGGAGTGCAGTCTAGTGCAACCACTATGGAAATCAATATGGAGATTCCTCAAAGAACTAGGATTAGGGTTTCCATTTGACCCAGCCATCCTTTTGTTGGGTATCTTTCCAAAAGATTTAAAAGAATCATACCACAGTGATATATGCACACCCATGTTTATAGTGGCACAGTTTGTAATAGCTAAAACTTGGAAACAGCCCATGTACCCATCAATTGGAAACTGGATAAAGAAGATGTGGTTTTTCTATAAAATGGAATACTACTCAGCCACAGAGAATGAGAAAGTAGATTCATTCATAGGTAAATGGGTACATTTTGAGGATATACTTCTAAGTGAAATAAATAAGTCACACATATGCAAATACCGAATAGTTTCTCTGGTGTGAAAAACTAAAATAGTGCTGAAGATCCTAACGGGGCAATTAGCAATGTGAAATAGGAAGATAAGGACCAAAGTTGTAGGGACAGTGAGAAGGATAGGGAAAGGAGAATAAGGGAAAAGGAAAAAAATATGAGAAAACGTAAAAATGGAATTAAAGTGTTTGAAGGTGGGGAGGGGAGGAGGGGATGAAGGGAGAGTGGGGACAAGGGGAAAAAATGAGAACCAAGACCTGGCGTGTAAAGGTAAAAGATCCCAGTAATGAATGTAACTGTACTATCTACCTAGAATGTACCAATAAATTCAACTTAAAAAAAAGACATAAAACTAAGGTAAATCCTAAATTCTTACTATAAGAGCGAGAAGCAATTTAAATATGTTCAGGGACCATTTTCATTTCCAGAATTAAGGATTATTTTAATGTTACATCATTGCCTTTTCTCTTTTACTTTCCTTTTTAGTTTTATGTTAGGATTCCCTATTTTTAATGTTCATACAAAGATTTCTTTAACTGAAATACCGAATAGTTTCTTTGGTGTGAAATACTATAATAGTACACAGGATCCTAATGAGATAATTAATAAAGTGAAATAGGAAGTAAAGGACTAAAGGTGTAGGGAAAGTGGGAAGGGTGGGGGAAAGGTAATAAGGGAGAGGAAAAAAATGTGAGAAGCTGAAAAAATGGAAATAAAGTGTTTGTAAATGGGAAGGAGAGGAGGGGGTGAAGTGAGGGAAGGCACGAGGGGAAAAAATGAGAATCAAGACCTATTATGTAAAGGTACAGAATCCCAATGATGAATGTAATTATTTTGTATACCTAGATTGTACCAATAAACTCAATAAAAAGAAAAAAAAGGATGGACACATTGAAGCTGTCAGTATGGAAGTAAAGGAGGAACAGAAAGAAAGAGGACAGAATACAGAGGAGGTGGAGGAGGAAGAGAAGGAGGAAGAGGTAAAGGAAGGTACGTGACTCACCAATTCTGTAAATAAGAACTCGGCTACCAGTTGGATCCCTGGATCCCAGAACTCCATGGTATCCAGCCTTCAAAAGACCAAGAATACTTCTAGGGTGTAGATCAGCACTTAATTCTGGAAATTCGATTCTCCATTTATAATAGTTTTTTAACAACTGAAAAGTAAAATTAACATTGTCCATAGACAGCATGCATGGCAAGCATTTTGTAAAACACAGAGAAAGCCTTGATATCATGTCTGAAGTTTGTTATCCATTATGTCAGAATTTTCATTAGTTATCTTTTTAACTATAAAAATGAAAATGGTCTCTTCTGTGATCATTAGTCACGACTACCAACTTGATTGGATTAGAAAAACCTAGCAAATGAGTAAGCCACACTTCTAGGTGTGTCTATGGGGTGTTTCCAGAAATCATCGACACATAGGCCTCAAACTGAGGGAAGAAGACTCAGCCTGATTGTGGGAGGCACCGTGCCAGTCGGCTTGCAGATTGGATGGAAGCAAAGAGGAAGAAGGCAGAAATCAGTCTTTGAGAAACTCCATTTTGCTTGAGCAGGTGTATCTTTTACTGTTGTCATCACCTGTGGACATCACATCCCAGTTTCTTTAACCTTTCAACACAGACTCAAACCAGAGTCTCTCCAGAGAGCTTCCACACCTTCCGTCTTGTATTAGTGCTGTCCCCCTGCTCTGCTTCCCAGCTACCATGCACTGAGCAGCTGTGCTCCAGCATGCCCTTCTTCCTTGATGTTTTTTGCCTTGGAGTCAGTAGATCAGGGACTGAAACTTCTGAAACCATCAGCCAGATGAAACTTTTCCTTTTTTAAATTTCAGGTGTTTGGTATTTTGTCCCAGAAAAAGAAAGCTGACCAACACACCTTCATCAAGAATCTGGGCTGATGGGAGTTAATCATAAATTAATGGTTGAGTAATTTTCAGTTGACACCAACAGTAGTCTCCAAAGACAGCCACCAACAATCCTCCCTCTTGGTATATAATTAATTCCTTCCAGAAAGAGGTGAGATCTATTTTATCCCCTCCAGATAAATGTGGGCTGATAGCACACTTTGCTTTGACCAATAGAATATGGGAGAAATCACACTGTGCCAAGCCTTAAAAAGTCTGTTACCTTCTGGGTTTGCTTTGAGGATCCAGACTCCACGTAAGATTACTGAATGATAACATTCTGTGTGGAGAGAAGCCCTGGGCACTGAGAGTTCATCCTGGAAGGTCTGAACTCAGCCATGTTCCCACTTGATGCCACACAGAGCAGGGATGAACGGTTCCAATGAGCCCTGCCCACACTGGAGAACACAAACCGCTGCACTCTAAGTTAATAAGTTTTGAAGTGATTTGTTACTTGGCAATAAATAACTGAAAGACTACCTTTAATATTTTTATTAAATATGGAAGAATAGAAATTAATGGATTTATTTAGGAGAGGCTATAAAACCTGGACAATAGATATTGGCAAAATATGACTTTTATCTAAAAAAATCATCATTGTTAGCATGTTGTAGAGAATGCTAAAGCAAATAATGCATTTAAAAATTATTATACTTTAGAACTGAGGCTGTAGGTGCACACTAGCATACATGAGACCCTAGTTTCTATTCTCAGCACTGCCAAAGAAAATTATATTTCAGTATGCATAAGCAAAGTGTTCAATCCTGAGCTCCTCAGAAATATATATAAAGAGAGAAAAAAAGCCAAGTGTGGTAGTGCATGCCTGTAATCCCAGCACATGGGAGGGTGAGGAAGGAGGATTGCTGTAAGTTCAGGACCAACCTGGGCTACATAGTGAGTTCCAGGTTAGTCTCAACTACATAGTAAGACCCTGTCTCAAGAGAGAGAGAAAGAGAGAGAGAGAGAGAGAGAGAGAGAGAGATTTTAAAACAAATATACATATCTCAATTAAATTAGTAATGATCTAGAGAAGAAAATAATACAAAAAATCACAGGTGAAATTCTGAGCATTGGAAAATGTCACTGGCCAAAATGGTGGTGGGGGGGGAGCTACTTGAACTACAAGAGAAGCCACATCATGGTGTCCAAAAGAAATCATTCATCTGTCTCTGTTTCTCTCTCTCTTGCTTTCATCTCTGCATTTTATAAACTCTTCTCAAGTTTTAGGAAAATAGGATAAAGCTAAAAGTTAAATGCAAAAGAGAGGTAAGAAAGAAAAAATGAAAATGTGCCAACAGAGAAATAATTGGTGACCTAAATAGGATTTCCAAAGGCAGTAAGAACAATAGGCACATTGTAGATTCTGATATTCATTCTGTTCTGTAAGATGAATTTTCCTTGCTCGTCCAGTCCTAGGGGGAATCAGAATAAGTGTCAATAGCATTTCACAATGCTCATTATTTTTTATAGTCTCCTTAGACATAAAAGGAGGGCTTTTAATTCTGATTAAAGCAAAATGCTGGAAGCAGCACATTAGCAACATTATAGAAATAATAATCTTATTTTCCTGTGGAAGGATAAAAGCTGTGGCTTCATTAGAAGTGAACTTTCAGATAATGGAGGCAACTTGTTCCTCTCTGCAGATTTCTGGGCTTCCAGGAAATAGATGCATGTGGTGAATGAGAATTAATTAATGCATAACTAAATCAACTGTAGGTCTACATGGTTGCTTCTGTAAAGATGTATAAAGTGCTTTACATTCCTGACACTTAGATTTTGCAAAGTAAAAAGACCTAAACCCAAATCTTGCCTACCTTTCTCTTTCCCTCTTTTCTTTCTCTTTCTTTCTTTTCTTTCTTTCTTTCTTTCTTTCTTTCTTTCTTTCTTTCTTTCTTTCTCTTTCTTTCTTTCTTCCTTTCTTTCTTTCTTTCTTTCTCTTTCTTCCTTCCTTTCTTTCTTTCTTTCTTTCTTTCTTTCTTTCTTTCTTTCTTTCTTTCTTTCTTTCTTTCTTTTCTCTCTCTCTATTTCTTTTTCCTTCCTTCCCTTCCTTCCTTCCATCCTTCCTTCCTTTGCAGTACCTGTGATTGAAATGAGGATTTTGTGCTTATGAGGCAGGTGCGACACCACTGAGCTAAATCCCCAGCCCTTAAACCTAGATCTTTGATCATTATTTTTCCAGTGATGGATTCACAAGTCCAGTTGATGTAAATAGATTACATAAATGATGAAAGTAAGACTACCCAATGTCCACAAAAGGAACAAAAAAATAATTGGCTGCAGATGAATATTCATTATTGGAAAATGCCTATTTTGTATGAAAGTTAGAAGTAAATAAATGAAATATTATACTTTGACCAGGGATTGAACTCTGGTCCTTGCGCTTACAAGGCAGGCCACCAAAACGCTGAGCTAAATCCCCGGCCCCTTAGGCCACTTTTGTGGAGTATAATGCATCATTTCAATTTCTTCTCACCATTACCATAAAAAGTAACTATTGTTACCCTTTTAGGTGGTTAAGACAAATAAAACTGAAAAGTTACACACTTGTTCAGGGTAATGCCTATCAAGAGCCAAATGAGGCTGAAATTGACATGTGATATAGTAAACTGTACAAAATAAAATACATTTAGATGGAAATTGGTAGGGAAAGTCTATGGAATTTTGAAAGCTTCAAAATCTTTCAAGAAAATCATAAAGGTAATTAAAGGATTAAAAAACTTCCCATGCATTTTAGTTTCATTGTTGTTGTTGCTAGTAACCAAATACCCCAGATTGTGTAACTTGCAAAGAAAAGAGATTTTGGGGACTCTTAGTTCTGGTCCAAGGTCTACTGGCTTCACCTGCTGATTACTTTCTTGCTAAATGTCCCAGGTGGCACAGGGTATCATGTGAGAGACAGGAAATGTGTTCATTATGTCTCTCTCCATCCTACTAAATTTTTAGTACCGGTTTGTGATATATAATACATATATTCATGGTGTGGTATTGGTATATATACATATTGCATCTTGATCCTTCTTACTTCCTTTTCTCCTCCTTTTCTCCTATCTCCCTATCTCCAGGTCTCCTTCACATCCCACCAAAGTCTATCTCCCTGTTTCCAATCATCTTTCTTTGCATGTTGCTCTTCACCATTACTCAGTCATGAAGGTCCCGTTCTGATGACCTTATTTTTATATAATCTTACTACCCTTGCAAAGGCCCTACTTCCAAACCAAAAGAAAATAAGAGGGAAGACTAAGTTTCTACCCTCTTAATACCTCACAGGGGGATTACACTGCATATACCAGTTTTGAGGAGGTCAATCCATATTCAAATCACAGCTAGATAAAATAAAAATATAAGGACCCAGACCATTTGCCTATAACAGCAGGAATCCATATGAACACAGAGAAGACAGAGACGAGTTGATGGTTGTTTTTCAGGTTCACTGTTTTGAACTGAAGGGGCCACTACACCATACCTGATAGCACAGATGCTCTTGAGTTCCACGCTAGTTCAAATCCCTGTTCCACCACTTAATAGCTATATCATTTTTGATAAATTACTCTATATCTCAGTTGCTTCTAAAATGAAAAAATAATGAGATAATTCTCGCAAACACTATGTACCAAAGTGCTTGGCATTTTATAAGAATGTTAAATATTAGGATTAAAAGTCTTTATTGATTCATTATTAATTCAAATTCAGACACTAAAATAATAAGAAAACTGAGGTACCATCATAACCACAGTACTTATCAAAGGGAAAGTGGGAGACATAAGGGAAAGGAAAGAAGGGAAAAAATAAATATGAGAAAAGGAAAAAATGGAAACAAAATTTTTGTAAATAAGGAGGGATGGAGGGGTTTAAGGAAGGGCAGTGGAATGGGGAAAAAATAAGAACCAAGATATATCATGTAAAGGTACAAATTCCCAATAATGAATGTCAGCATTTTGTATACCTAAAAGGTACCAATAAAATTAATGAATAACCCTCCCAAAAAAACCTATGACATAAATTATGGATAAGAAAGTTTAAGTTGAATTAACTGCCCCTGTAAAGGAAAATTTAAAAGATATTTCACACTTTTAGCCTTTTCTCTTTCTATTTGGCAGAAAATTAAGACAAAGAGTTAACAGGCAGAAACTTGATTTCTTTTTTTGTTTTGTTTTGTTTTATTTCTTGTTTTTGGTACTGGGGATCTAACTCAGAACCTTGTGCTTGCGAGGCAGGTGGCAGCACCACTGAGCTAAATCCCTGGCCTTGATTTCTATCCAATAGACTTAGACACAGTCCTGCTATCCAATTCCTCAGTGGCATTGTATAAAAGCATCATTCAGTAACTGAAAGAATACAAATATATAAAATATGATATATATCACAAATTATATGTGGTATATCACATAAATATCACAAAATCTGGAAGTAAATTTTTTGACTTGCATATTACTTTTTCAAAAGCAGCTAAATGAGATCAGCAAATCATATAGTTTTTACAACTCGTCACCTCTAATGATTGAAAACTACAAGAAATGTTTAATTTTTTTTTTTTGTACCAGGTATCAAACTTGGGATCTTGCCCTTGTGAGGCAGGCAGGATAAATTATTTTATGTTATAGCAAAAGGCACATTGCCACCCCCCCAATACTACTTTTAACATGCCTTTCCCATCATTCTTGCCACTTTCTGAAGCAGTTCTGAAAGTTCTCTTTGGTGCGTGTATTTAATCGCACTGTCATGGTAGCCTCGAGGTCCTGAATTGACTCAAAATGTTTACCTTTCGTGATTATTTTGACTTCGGTGAGCCAGAAGTCGCATAGTACCACATCCAGTATATAAAATGAATTAGCACCACCTGCCTCACAAGCACAAGGACCCGAGTTCGATACCCGGTACCAAATAAATAAATAAATATGAATTAGGATGTACCATAATTTTTTATAGACCTACTTTTCTGTTGGATAGCACTTAGCAGCAGCATTCCCTGAAATTTTTATCACCACATAAAGGCAATCGCAAAACAGCATCTCCAGAATGGCTTCAGAAAGTGGAAAGGACAATAGGATAATTGTGCTCTAAATGAGCTGGGAATTTAGCTCAGTGGTTCTGCCACCTGCCTCGCAAGTGCAAGGACTGTATATTTTGATCACACTCTGTAGAGATACTTTGTTTAAACTGCCTTCTTCATAAGACCTGAAGCTACATGTTCAGTAGCAGCTGAGTGCGTATTAGTTTATTACTCATGATGGTGGGATACTTGCATAACCATAGAATATAAAGAAAATAGATAAAGCTGTGTTCTTATTTCAGACCTAAAATCAAAGGAAATCCAAATAAAACTGAAGAGGTAGTGCATTCATCACTCTAGGAGGATAAGGCAGGAAGATCACAAGTTCAAGTCCAGCCTGGGCAGTTTAGCAATACTTGGTCAAAAAAATTAATAATAATTAACAACAATAATAATAATATTGCTGAGTTCAGCCCATAATTATGAAAAAATCACAATAGAACAATGATTCAATGTGCAAAAGAGAAACCATCCATTTCTAGAGAAATTTTTGGATAGAAAGCTTACAAAATCCAAAAGTAGGGACTGATATAGCATGCAGATGATGTATGAAGAATAAGCAGGTACTGTCAGTGAGAGAAGAAGCCACAGCAGCCATGTTTATTGCATTTGCATGTTGTATACTACTAGGCTAACTATACACACATACTGAGGTCACTGAATGCAGAAATAAACAGCAACAGTGTGCATGGCAACATTGCATTAGCTGGTAACAGTCCCTATGTCTGATATCACAGACATAGAAAAATAATATAATATATCCATTATATGGATTACCAGCAGCTCAATAAAGAGTAAGATCTATGAGTACATGCTGATATAAGATGATCTAAATAATAAGAAAGCACAGACACACACCTGCTTGTATGAACATACATTATGGCCTCTGGGTACATGGCTGGCAAACTGAGGGGCAGGGAACTTCTTTCCCTTAGATAATCTTGATCCCTAGTATCACCAAAAAATAAAATAAAAAAAAAACAACTTTTTTTACTGTTTTGTATTATGTGCATTATTTTTACCATGCTCATTATTTTTCAATAAAAAATAGTTTTAAAAAACCTATAGTGATACTGGACTTTGTGCTATAAAACCTTTTCTATCACCCAGCAACGACATGAAATAAAGCATTTGGAAAAAGGACCAGATCTGGTCCAACTGCTGAGTGCTTACTGTGTTCCAGGCGCTGTGCTGGGCACAACCTGTTCTAACCATTAAATTGGTTAATGTTCAGTCCTCAAAAACAATCAATAAAGTGAGCGTCCTCACCTCACCGTTACTGACCAGATAAGGACACTGAATCCCTAGGGCCAAACCCAAGGTCTCATCTCTGATTCCTGTCTTTCCACCATGCGTTATCTCACCCAGCTGTAACACACCTGGCTACGGAAAACAAAAAACAAAACAAAACAAAAAACCTTACCCATCCTCTGTTTTCAAAATATCTGTGATTGTTTAACTGTCTTCATATTTAAGTTTTACTATTAATAATACTATTTTGCTAGGGTATGGCTTCAGATCTTCAGTGTTACCAGTAATTTCAATTTCCCCGCAAGTTATCTGCTCAGATGCCTGCGTTTCCGCTGTTCTTCCGTTCAGTAACACAAATTTTCTACCAGAAGAGGAAGGCAATTACTTCCCTCCCCTCAGAGTTTACAGAGTGCAAAGATTTATCTAGGGCTAGTCCCAGTGCTTGTGATCAGTGGGCCAGCACTCCAGGGCTCCAACACTTTTGTAGGTTTACCGTTTCCACTGACCCAGAGAAACTGGAAGAACCAGCGTCACCGAACTCCTACAGCCGCAGGGCCCACGCGGTGCGTCTGGGCGCGCTATCCCGCCTGCACCTCGGCGCAAGCTTACCCGCCAGGCCAGGTCCAGGTCGAAATCCCGGGCGCGCAAGAACCGCAGTAAGAAGGCATCTGTGAAAGGCTGCGGCATTAGCGGGACGCCCGCCTCCCTGGCCAGGCGCCTGAGTTCGGCCAAGCCGGGCTGAAGCAGAGGCGAGTGATCTGGCAGGGCATTGAGCTGCAACCCAGTGGCCGGTCCGGGCCGCATCTCTGCCATTCCAGTCGCTCTGAGGCGGCTGCCAGAGCAGAAGCGAAAAGCGGGGCCGAGGGCAACCCTCCGCCCCTCCTCTGGTGACCGCTGCCCAGCTCACACCCCTCGGCCGCCGGCAGCCTTGGCCCTTCACGCCTGGCCGGTGGGAGGGCCGGCGCTGCCTCTTAAGGGAACCCGCGGGGTGTGCCTGCGTGCTAACCAGGTACCGAAGTACCTGAGCCTTTCCACGTTATGGGAGTCACTGGTGCTCAAAGTCTAGACCACGCTGTCAAAACTTTGGGATGTTTAATAATCCTCTGCCTGAGGACCCTTTCTATCCTCCCTCCCTCCCTTCCAAGAATCTTGGACCTGGAAAGAGCCTTGGGACCAGGGATTAACATTGTCCATGTGGCAAAGCGCTACCGCAGTGGCCCTGATTGGGAAGGTCCTTCAGTGCAAAGGTCAAGAGGCGCATGGAAAACACTCAACACCTTCTGTGTGCAATCAGTCATGCGGCTAGAGATGCTGCCTGGTTCCGACGCACATAAAAAACCTGAGCTGAACATCAGTTCAAAAGAACCTTAAATTATTATTATATAATTTTCCTTTTGGCCGGTAATGCCGCCCAAGAATGTGCCACCTGGGGGCCCCACTCCACCCCTCAGTTACTGCACTGCCTCTGAGCCTTGCCCAGCCACAGGGTCCGCCACAAAACATTACAGCCCTGGTGTTTAACATACAATTTCATAAAGCCACCTTAACACACTCAGTACTCCTCCCCTTCCTCCCCCTTCCCATCAGCTCTTGGCTCCTGGCCCTGTCAATGTCAGAGAAAAATAAACGGCCCCACAGGAAAAAGAAAAACTTTGTAAACACGGTTAACTTACTCTGCTGCACTACACCACACTGAATATAAGCATGCCCAGTCTTGGCTGTAGTCCAGATTCCTTTTATGATGGATATCTATGGAATAACGAGTAACTGAGATAAAGCAAGGAAATGATGCAAAAATCGCAAATTTGTTAAACTGCTTTTCTGTTGTTGCTGATGTTGTTGTTGTTGTTGGGGGAGGTGGTACTAGGGGTTGAACCCAGGCCTTTTTAAAAGTTAATTAATTAATTAATTTTTATTTGAAACAACATCCCACTGAGCCCCCCCCACACACACTTGTGATCTTCCTGCCTCACCTTCCCCGAGTTCTGGAATTACAAACTTGTGCCACAAGACCTGGATTAAGGCTTAAACTGATCTTTTCTTGATTTCTTTACGCTGAAATTATCCTAGAACTGATGTATTATCAAGTGGGAGCTCATGAAACTAATTCTTTTTAAATGAATAATATATTGCCTGGTAAATGCTGGACTTGCCAATAATCCCGAGCCGTGGCTTGTGAGGAGCTCAGAGAGTGGCATGGAAACCTGACAATCACTCGTCAGAGTTATTGAACGGTTTCTGTGGGTGCACCAGAGAACAAAACCGGTAAAACTCTTACCTTTGAGTTTTCTTTCCTGGGGTGGGGAGAGGATGACAAGGTAAATCAGGGAATATGGTATAATGATGATGATACGTGCTAAAGGGGAACAAAGCAAAGCAGGGAGTAAACCCTACAGTGATGTTGAACAGACACCTCAACTTACTGAGGCCCAGGTGTGTCTGAGGTGGAGTGGCTACAAGTTTGACTTCTATTTGGAAGGAAAAGATGGATCATAAAATAATCAAAATCCAATGAGAAAGCTGGCATAAAATGAGGCATAGAGATTCCAAGCTTTGACTTAGAGTTGGAGTGATATGGAAAGCTATTGGAGTAGAAGTGTGATGAATAAACACAAGGGTATGTGATATTTGGTTGATCTTAATCATCAATTTGATGGACCTGAGAGATAACTAGATTAGCAAATCACACTTCTGGGTGGGTCTGGGTGGGTCTGGGTGGGTTATGAAGGAGGGATTTTGGAGACTATATTGGGTCCATAACCCTTTCCTCTTTGACTCTTGCACTGCTTTCTGTTTCAGTCTGCCATGAGATGAAAAGCTTTCCTCTAGCACGCCCTTCTGTCATGACATTTCTGCCTTGGAGCCAGCCCAGCATGGATGGAAACCATGAGCCAAAATAAATTCTTCCTTCTTTAAGTTGTGTATGTCAAATATTTTGTCCGGCAATGGAAATCTGACTGACACAGTGTATAAAAGAGGTATGGAGACTAAGCTAGAGACTGCCTAGTATCTCCGGGAAGGCCTTGCAAAGGCCACTGGCTTGGCCTCCGTGGATGCACTGGAAGCATTTGCTGGATAAAGGAGAGAGGAGGAGAGCAGGAAAAGAAGTACCAGTCAAGAATGAGAGACGGTGCAAAGCCTTCCTTGGAGCTCTGCATGAATAATAAGAAAAGGTAAGGGAACCCCTCTTTGTCGGTTTTAAGTATATGGAAGTAAATTAACAAGATAGTGTTCATATAGAGGTTTTCCTGTCTTTCAGGTATTTTTTTTTCAAAAACACCCTCCAACTTTCAAATTCTTGGCACAGATTTTCAAGGGATGTGACTCTGTTTTTGTTTTGAAGTGTTTTCAAATTCACTGTGCTCATACTATACTTTGGTGAGCTTTCATGCTTACTGAAAAGCCAGATCTCTGGTATAAAGATTCCAGAGGGATTTCTGGAACTAAATGTGTATTAGAGTTCTCTAGACAAACAGAACCAATAGAATGTATACATAATTATAAAAGGAGATGTATGATTGGCTTACTCCATCAGAGTCTAGATAATCTGGAGAGCCAGGGGAAAACAGTAGCTATTCATTACAGGAAGCTAAGACTCAAAACAAGAGGGATGCTGTCCCAGTCTGAGACTGAAGGCCTGGAAGTTCCCTGTAGAGTTGCTGGTGGGTCATGAAGGAGCGACTTTGGAAACCATACACAGACACACCCAAAAGTGTGCTTTACCAATTTTCTAGGCATCTTTCAATGTGGTCAAGCTGAAAACCAAAATTGACCATCATCAGTTATATGAAGAAATAAAAACAAATGAAAATTAGTTCATATTTGTGCAACTGGCTTATAATTTACTCATTAAATTATTTGATAATTATTCATCAGCGCATAATAATTTGCAAGTGTACCAATTTATTTCACTTTCGGATCCTCAGAAAAGACATAGCTATTTATCACAGTTAAAATGACACTTTTTAGGGACAGAAATGCAGCTCAGTGGCACCCTGCCTCCCTAACAAGCTCAAGGTCCTGAGTTAGATCCCAATACAAAAAAAAAAAATCTTCTAAATGGAAGAAATTATTACTTTTACATACATATAAAAATGAACACATATTAAAGACTTTATTCAGCTCATAAAGAGAAAACAAAGTAGCTGTTATACCAGCTTCAAAGGAGTAGTCAAAACATACTCATATAAAGATATTGAAATGAGCCCAGGCGTGGTGGCACATGCCTGTAATCCCAGCACTCGGGAGGCTGAGGCAGGAGGATTGCTGTGAGTTCGAAACCTGGCTGGGCTACATAGTGAGTTCCAAGTTAGTCTCAACTACATAGCGAGACCTTGTCTCAATAAAAAAAAAAAAAAAAGACATTAAAATGAATGTGCAAATGGAGGCAAAGTTATCTTCCTTCACAATGAGAGAGGAAGGCCAGTTGAAATTCTACCAAGCAGGACAGAATTGCATGTTCTTAGATAAGAATTATTTGCCTTTGGTATTACTTATCTACAATTTACATAGTTGTGAAATTCTTATTCAACAGAGTCAGAATTTAATAATCTAAGACCTTTCATCTCATGGCTATACAATGCATAATTGTCCAATTCATATGCAGTGTATAATTTTCCACTGATGGATCTGTTTTATCCTACACCACTTGGGAAACCTTATTTAAAAGTTTCTAAAATTATATTTATCATAATAAAAATTAAACTCACTGTAGCAATCAGTATTATTTTGCCAATCATATTTTATGTACCTCTCCTACTTTGTTTGTATGTTTACAGTGCTTGAAATAAAAACCAGTGCTTGAAATAAAAATCTCTTCATTTTTCTCATTTGACAATATTTAGGAGACTGCCAGTTAGGATCCCACCAGGAAATCAATGACTCTGAAAAGGATGAGACTCAAAAGGAGATGATGCTTCTTTTTTGATGGCACTCATCGAAAGGAGCAGTTGACTAGAGTTTACAGAGGGGAAATATTTAACAGATGCAAGCTGAAAAACGAACAAGATGGGATATACCAGAGCCAGCTACACAGGAACTGCTATTGCCCCTCATCCGAAAAAAAAAAAAACATAAAAAGGGACAGTTTAAGAATCCAGTGAGGCTCTCAAGTTTAAGGAAAGAAGTGTCTCCAACTATGAATCGTAGTTTTTTCCCCACCTTGTTTTTATGCATTTTACTATATGAATTTTTCATACTTCTCATGAAAGAAGTGAAATCTTTAACCTCAGAACACGCATTTGTGTTTGTCCACAGCAAGAGCAACAATAGTGATGTCACAGTTCTAAAATGCCTTTTATTTCTTCATTGCATTTCTGCCATCCTTATGAGAAAATGCCTGTACTAGACTATTGGATAGTTAGTGATACCAGCAGTCTTCTATCAGTTTAGCTGATGATATTCCAGATCAGCCAGAATTTATCTAACTCCTGAGCACATGAGTGATTCCAACCAAAATCAGCAGAGCCAATGAGCCAATCTCAGCTAACCTCAGAGATATGAGCAGTGAATGTTGTTTTGTAATATCATTTTGCCAATAGGTAAATCATATGCCCTAAGTTGATATTCATAGCTCCTTTCATCCACTACTCATTCCATGATCCATGCCTATCAATAGAATAGACTCTTTTACCTGATGAGTTAACCAAAGCTTTCCTATCTACAAGCTCCAAGTCCTTCATAGCCCCGACTTTGGTGGGTTGTTGGGATTTTTATTTATTATTACCGAAGAGCAAAGGTTTCCTGGGTGGAATGCTCTTGGATGCAAACATAGTCCTCACCCCTATTGTGTAATTTCCCCTTAATACTTCAAAATAATCACTTTGGCCAGTACCATGGCCAAGAGTCAAGAGAAGTTCTAATGGCTGTGGGGACAGTTTCAGTTTCTAATTTATTGGAGTAACTGTTCCGTGGTGAAATTATTCTTCTTTGGGGCAGTAGACCCTCTAAATATGCTAAACCTAGGATTTGGGGTATGCTATGCACGACATTTCTTAACTAGATTATTAAACGTAACAGTAAGGACTGCGATCTTTGCTGCCCTTAGATCACTGTGGCTGTGAAGTCATTCTTATGCAACCTCTTTAGTTCTCACAAGAGGAGGGAGCAAGCCCGACCCCACTCATCCTCTTTCACTCTTCATGTTCTGGAGATGATCACTTATTCCATCATATACT